CATATTGATTGCTTTGACATTAAAGGACTAAGAAAATTTCATCTTGAAGTACTAGATCTAGGTATAAACTAAAATCTTTAGTCCTTTACGGACACAAAAAAACTGCAGTTTATTGGAAAAACTAGTTTCGTCTTACGACCTTATCAGTTCTAAAATATACAGACTTCCCTTACGAACTATGTACTTATTGACTGAGTGGGAGGGCCGTACGGGAAAATATTTGGCTCGAGGTTATGCCGTACGGCCCGACCTAACTCAGTCAATAAGCATTTTATCATATGACAGCGTTTTTTAATGTAAAAAAATAAAAAATACAAACTTTCTTTTCAACAACAGCGTTGTCTGCGGATGTAAAAGGATTTCTCGTTTGGAATATACGTCACAGCGGCCATTTTGGTTGAACTTCAGAAAAGGATTTCTCATTAGTATCTACATACAACATGGCCGCCGATCCTTTGTCTTTGGAATCTAATATTTAAACTTCTTTATATACACATTCAAAGGACCACATTGAATGCCTGTTATTAATGAACTTTTAATGACTCTTTAAAGGATTTCTCATTAGTATCTATTGTTCATACCTTCAACATGGCCAACGATCTTGTATCTTTTGAATCTAATAACTAAAGTTGTGTATATACACATTCAAACGACGACCGCATTGCATGCCTGTTATTAATAACACTTTCATGAATCTTTACAGGCATTCGTGAATGACAAGAACACTTTCAAGACGCCAATCAAGAAGACAAAGGCCTCCCGTGCAGCCAGCACTCCAGAAGGCAACCTCACTCACATGTCATCGATATCATTCTGTATGAATGCTAGTGCCATTCCCCCCTCGCCTATACCGACGTCACTTCCTATTAGAATCTACCCGAAAGGAAAAGGTTGGTATTATTTTCACTCGTGATTTGCCATGGTTTACTTACAAGTGATGTCAGTGGTGCATTTCTTTCTTGTACAATAGTCTTCTTCACGGTTCCCTGCGCCATCTTGAAAGGTAGCCRTGCCTTTRCATYGAAGYGAGACGACCGTTGAGTGTGCAATGATAGAAACCTTCTTTCACACCTACAGACAATTATTCACAGGTATCTATCATTGCATGCTCAACGGTTGTCTCGCTTCGATGCAAAGGCACGGCTACCTTTCAAGATGACGCAGAATTTCGAACACGCCGCTGGTAGTGCAAATAAATCAACTAATGCATGTGTGAAAATCGTAGCTGAATAAACCTTTTTTCATTCAAAGCGAGTGAGTTAAAAAACTGGCAAATTTCGATAGTCCAGAACCCGTGAAATAAATATATTACACTAATACACCTTAGTACGCTCTAATTGCATTGTTTTCTTTTGTGTCTATTTGACTATCACACTTTAGTATAAACATACTAATGGTCTATCACTCATACTGCGCTTGATTGGCTACTCTACTAATGGTCTTAATTTGTGATAGACCACTCGCGGGAAAATCAGAATAAATAAATTATAATTATAAATTATTTTAAGGATATTTCAATTTGTTTTCATTATTTGACCGATTAGTATGTTTATACTAAAACAATTAGACCTCTCGGCCTCGTGGWCTAATTGTTAATTAATGGTCAAGTTTTGTTTCACGGGTGTGATGACCTCACACTATATCTACTCATGGAAGTAAATATCACGATGTATTCTTGTTTCAAAGCATGAGCAAATACTAAAGGATGCCGTTTGAACATGGCTAAAATGTTAGAATCATCAATACATTATAGATAGTTWATTTTGTTTTATGCATGTTATTATCAGATGCACAGCCCAGTTTGATATCTAAGAAGGGTGTGGATGATGATGGCGAGGAAAAACAAGAGGACGTTATATGCATGCCGTCACCGGACCAAAAGTAAGTCTTGTGCTTGGGTAGGGTTTGGTTTTTTCGCTTSCGTCAGTTGTCACATGACCTTGCCTTTTATGGTTGCGCTTAGCATTGGGCTTGTGTTCAAGTCGTAGTGAAATCAAGGTTTTTTGTGATATAGTTGAATTTCGCGATCTCTTTTACGCTGTGTTAGCCTCAATTGTGTGCTAAAATATTAAAAAATGCAGATCTCTTGCATTTGCACGGGCTGTTGTGAATAAAAGAATTTATTACRTGGTTTTTGAGGCTAACACAGCGTAAAACAGATCGCTAAAAGGGTTTATTCTTATTCTCCCTTACAC